TCCAATTTCATTCTTTTGTATGTAGTTATCCGCTTTTTCCAAAAACATTTATTAAACTATCCTTTTCCCACTGAGTATTCTTGGCTCCTTTGTCAAACAGTAGTTAACCATATACATAAGGGCTTATTTCTGGGCTCTCAATTCTTTTCTATTGGTCTATGTGTCTATTTTTAATGCCAGTACCATACTATTTTGATTACCATCACCTTGTAATAAAGTCTGAAATCAGGAATTTCAAAAAGATAATGAAAAAGAGAAGTATTTAAAAAAAATAAAAAGAGAAGTATTGAGAACAGAGTGGAAACCTTAGACTTAATGGAAATTATCTTTTAAAAATATTTTAACATTCCTCCTTAAATAATTACACTAAGTCATTGTTAATACTCCTGTATAAGTTACAAAGATGTTAAGAGAAAAAAAATGGTCAGTGGAATTTAACTCACATAACCATGAGGAAAAGATCTCCAGATGGAGAAGAGTCTCTTTACAAATAATGATGGGATACAATTTAAAGAAAATAATTATTAAATCCTAGAGATTCAAACCCATAAAATGACAAAGAATTTATAAATTAATCCACAGAAATCAATTCTCAGGTGATTAACTGTCAAGTTTGGCAAAAAAAAAAATGAATAAAATATCTCAATAACCATTATAGCTCAATAATCATTATAATTTCTGATTTTTTATTTTAGAGAAAAATCTAGGATAAAGAAAGGATGATTTTGTAGGATCACATTGTTCATCCAAAAATTCCGTTATTAGTTTTAATATTTCCAAATCTAGTGATTCAAATATTTGTCCTTCCATTCAAGTTTTTTTTTTTTTTTTTTTAAAGATTTTATTTATTTGAGAGCGAGAGAGAGAATGAGAACACGAGAGGGGGTAAGGTCAGAGGGAGAAGCAGACTCCCTGCTGAGCAGGGAGCCCGATGTGGGACTCCATCCTGGGACTCCAGGATCATGACCTGAGCCGAAGGCAGTCGCTTAACCAACTGAGCCACCCAGGCACCCTCCATTCAAGTTTTTACTCCCTATATATTACTGTCTATTTGAAATTCTCACCTTAGTAGTCTCACCAAGGCCAACATGATAAGACACTGTGAAACATGATAAGCACAGTGAAAGAACCAATGCTAGGAACTGCTCAGCCTGCAAAGATAAATAAGACTTGGTCCCAGGGCCTAGGAAACCCAAAGTCATAAAAGGGAACCAAGACAGTTACATAGCCAACTATTAACTACATAATTACAAGTAGAATGTGATATGTATTTTAAAAGAGGTATAATGAAAATCAAAAGGGAGTTCCTAACATGGGTAAGCTCATTTTGCAAAACAAACTTAACAATAAAAATTACAATAGCTGGGGCATCTGGGTGACTCAGTCGGTTAAGCATCTGCCTTCGGCTCAGGTCATGATCCCAGGGTCCTGGGATTGAGGCCCGCATCGGGCTCCTTGCTCAGTGGGGAGCCTGCTTCTCCCTCTGCTTGCTGCTCTCCCTGCTTGTGTGCTCTCTCTCTCTTGCTCACTCTCTCTCTCAAATAAATAAATAAAATCTTTTTTAAAAAATCCTCTTTAGCGGCACCTGGGTGGCTCAGTCATTAAGCATCTGCCTTTGGCTCAGGTCGTGATCCCAGGGTCCTGGGATCAAGCCCCGCATCGGGCTCCCTGCTCCGCGGGGAGCCTGCTTCTCCTCTCCCACTCCCCCTGCTTGTGTTCCCTCTCTGGCTGTCTCTCTCCGTCAAATAAATAAATAAAATCTTAAAAGAAAAAATCTTTAGGGGGTGCCTGGGTGGTGCAGTTGGTTGAGCATCTGACTCTGAATCTGACTCTTGATTTCAGCTCCAGTGGTGATTTCAGGGTCCTTGGATTGGGCCCCGTACTGGGTGTGGAGCCTGCTTGGGATGCTCTCTCTCTCCCTTTCCCTCTGCCCCTCCCCACTGCACTCACGGGTCTTGCTCATTCTCTCTCAAATAAATAAATAAATAAATATAAATAAATAAATCTTCTTTTTTAAAAAATCCTCTTGAGGCGCCTGGGTGGCTCAGTCGTTAAGCGTCTGCCTTCGGCTCAGGTCATGATACCAGGGTCCTGGGATCGAGCCCCGCATCAAGCTCCCTGCTCCGCGGGAAGGCTGCTTCTCCCTCTCCCACACCCTCTGCTTGTGTTCCCTCTCTCGCTGTGTCTCTCTCTGTCAAATAAATAAATAAAATCTTTTTAAAAATATAATAAAAATTAAAATTAAAAAAATTAAAAGATCCTCTTTGGAATATTATAAAACAAAACAAAACAAAGTACTTCCTCTGGGTTTAGAATCCATGACAATGCAGTAGCAAGAAATATATCCAGCACCATGTTGGTTTCTAACATCATACATTCTGGAGAAATGGCAGGAGCAGAGGCTATACAGGATGAGCCTAGAATATCTTATTATACCAGAAAGTAAGGTAGAGCTCAAAAAAACACAACAATGGAGGCATGTGAAAGGGACATAGGAACCAACTGAAAGATTTTCAAATCACCAAGCTGGAACAATTCAAACAACAAAATAACATAGTGTTGGATTATAACCCAAAGTACAAAATACTAACCATGGGCCCAAAATAATATAACCAAATACTTGAATGAATAAGTAAATAAGGGAGAATAGACAAATCACCCATACAAAGGAATTCTGCCCCTCAAAGACTTGGGAAAGTCTTTGCCGCTACCCCTTAAGTGTAAGCTGCACTACGGACTTGCTTCCAAAGAGAAAAGTATGGAAAGGGAGGGGAGAAAAAGGAGTTAACTTTACAGGGGGAAAATCTGAGAGATTATCTCAGGTATGTAACGGAACTTAACTTCACTAGTGATATCATTAGTGATAAGTTATATCGACAGCACTTTCCCTTCATATTATATGATGAGCATGGCGTTTACCTCTGCGCTCCTCCTCCCCAAAAACCATAACCCCAGTTCATTTATAAGAAGAACATTGAACCCACATTGAGAGACTTTCTACAAAACCTACCAGTACTCTACAAAATTGCCAAGGTCAGTAAAAACCAAGAAAGTCTGAGAAACTGTCAGTCTACAGGAGCCTCAGGAGACACAATGACTAAATGTAATGTTGTCATCCTGGATGGAAACCTAGGACAGAAAAAGAACATTAGGTAAAAACAAAGGAATCTAAAGTATGAACTTCAGTTAATAATAACCTATCAATATAGCTAATCAGTTGTGACCAATGTCTCATACTATTGTAAGATCTTAACAGGTCAAATCAGGTAAAGGGTAGGGAGCACTCACTGTACTATCTCTGCAACTTTCCTAATAAACCTAAAACTCTTAAAATAAAACGTGTGTTAAAAGAAAAAAAGGACCTCTTCTGGTTTGAAATCTTTCATTATCTGTTAGAATCTTTATTCCCTGGTCCAAGTCTTCTATAAAGTTGCTATTCATAATGTGGTCACCTGTGAGTTTCTTGGCAATACAGAATCTCAGGCCCATCCCAGATGCATTAGTCAGTGTTCTCCAGAGAAGCAGAACCAATAGAAAGAGAGAGAAAGACAGTGTGTGTGTGTGTGTGTGTGTGTGTGTGTGTGTGTGTAAAGTTACATAAGGAACTGGCTCATGCAATTATGATGGCTGGGAAGTCAAATCTGCAGTGTGAGCTTGCAGCCCAAAGACCCAGGAGAGCACGTGGTTGCAAATCAAGTCTAAAGGCAGTCACTGGACAACTCCCCCTTGGTCGGGGAGGGGGTCTTTTGTTCTATTCAGGCCTTAGATTGAATAAATTCAACCCACATTCTGGAAGAGTTCTGTTAACCTCGTCCAAAAACACCCTCCAGGTTGTCAATGCCAGACCTGATAAATCAGAATCTGCATTTTAAAAAGATCTGCTGGGTGATTTCACGCATATTCAAGTTTAAGTGGCATTGCTGCAGAAGACTCCTAAAGGGCCAGAATCCCTCCTTAAAGATCTTAAAATATACATGGTAATTTCACTAACTCAGGAACTAGGCTTGATTTGTTGCTGTTTTAACTTGATAACTCTCCTAGCATTTATTGATCCGGAAGTGAGGGATGCCTTCAGAAATCTCCACTCTCTGTGCTGGGTGAGGGTAACCCTCCCATTTGTTCCCACGTGGACCTCACCAAGCTTCTGACCCGGTTTTTTTTAAATTACTGTCCTGTGAGTCTTCCCAGCTACAGTGAGCTCCCCAAGGGCATCTACCACATCTTATTTTTCCTATCTCCAGGTCTCTATTACTCACGGTAACAGCCAAACTCAAGTCTGGCGTCAGGACTGCAGGCCCACATCTGTCCCATTCCCGCTGCCCCATCCCCCAACCCTCCCAAGAGAGACTGTACATTTTCCTCTTTCTCAGGCAGCATATGCCAGAAGTTACCATTCGAATTAGATCTGGGGAGACATTACACACAGATTACTCTGCAGGTTGAGGCATATGAAATTGACAATATTGGCTTTTTTGACCCACAAAATCAGCGATTTCCTAGGCCTGAACAGTATGTTTCCATTTAGTGTTTTTCCTTCGCAAAAACTACTTTAGGGACAATTTGCTGTCACGGGTAGATGGTACCAGGCTTGCTAATATTCGTGACAATTTACTACTGATAAATTAACGTCAAATACACACCATTCACTTCCCAACTTCGATCCCAGCCCTCCCCTTATGATGCGCGATTCAAGGCCTCGCAGCCGCCTCCAGGGTCCCACTCATCCCGCAGGGGCAGCCCCTGCGCTTTTCAAGGGCGCACAAGAGGGGAGAGCGTCGTTCCTCGGAACGACGGCGACCTGGCACGCCCAAAACCCAAGGGGCGCGATAACTCAACTCCCACCGCGCCCCACAGGCCACACCGCCCCGAATTCTGCCTTTGCCCGCCCAACCCCTCCACCGTTGCCCGAACCTAAGATGGCGGCGGGGGCGGAGTCGGTGCGGCCGCCTGTAGGCGGGACCGCGGTGACAGAGCGCGGCCGAGGGGCGGTGCCAGCGGCGCCACCCCGCCCCGCCAGCGCGGCCCGGGCCTTCGGCTGTCCGGGCCCGCTCTCCTTTCTGCCGGTGTCGCCGTCCTGCTTCTCGGAGGCGTCATGAGGTCCCCGACTGGGGGCCTGGCCTCGAGCGATGGCGAGGAGGGCTCAGATAGGACGCCGCTCCTGCCGAGCGCCCCGCGGGTTGAAGCCGGTGAGCAGCGGAGCTGTCCCAGGGCGGGGGTGGCCGGGATACCCGCGCCCTTGGCCGATGGGACCAGAGCTGCTTAGGCGTGAGGGGTCTTGAGGGAGGAAGCGAAGGCGCGAGGGAACTCGAGGAGGGGGAGTCCGTTCAGGGCCCCGCTTAGCCCCCGCCTGCCCCGGTGCCCAGAAGCCGCTCTGGGGTCTGGCGGGGACCGTGAGGCCGGGCCGGGCTGGAGGCTCGGGTGGGGCCGCGGCAGGTGCAGCTCCGCGGGGTCTGGGCAGGGGCAGCTGGGCGCCGCCCGCTCTGGACTCCTGGCAATTCTCGATAATATCGAGCGGGGAGCCCCATGTTAGAATGTATGGGAGGAGAACCTGTGAATCAATGGGCAAAGGGCCGAGCGGAAGACCCGGAGTCAGAGCAAACTGGGAGAAGACCCTGCAGATCGGTGGGCAAAGGGTTGGACGGAGCTGCTCGCTCTTTCTCTCTGTCACCGCCGGGTTTCCTCAACTGCCGCCCGCCGGCCTGTAATCTGGTAGCGCCTTGGGCGGGGAGCTGAGACCGAGGAGGACTGAGGTTAACATTTGTGTGTATGTGGAGGAAGACTATTGCAAAAGCCAGCGAATATCTTGAATTTTTTTTTCCGTATGGTAGTCTACGGTTACATCGTAGCAGGTCTGCGATTTAAGTTAGAAAACAGTTACCTTCAAGATAGAATATCTATGAAGTTCTAAGATAATTTGCCGAAGGTCTTGCAGCAAATAGAAAAGGAAGTACTTCACAACGTATCTTCCCTGAATTTGGAGAAATTAAAATATATTGCTATTTAATACTTTTATAAATGTAACTTCTTTAAAAGTAATTAAAACTAAAGAACAAGTCCGTTTGTACGCGTTCTATAGTTTCAAAGATGTGTGCATGAGAAACAGAGTTGAATTAGAAATTTGACTTTTCCTGACCAAGAACAGGATCGTCCTGTGGTATCTTTTTTGTTTTTAACATTACCAGATGGTGGCAGTAGATGTGGCAACCTAAGAGCTCCATCCGGCAGCTGGGAGCTTATTTTAGAGGAGGCTCAGTGTAAATACTGTACCAGTGACGTTAGACCTAGAAGTTGGACTTAGTTCCATGAACTGAGCTTTTTCTGTGGCATACACTGTTAGATTTCTAAAATCTTCTGTAAAATAATCTAGTATGGAAATACAGAAACAAATGCCATCAAGATATTCCCTAGAGACTATCATATTCTGTTGCAGTTGAGAAAATATATACAGCTGTACTTCATCCATGCCTACGTGTATAGTTTTGATTTTTCAGGAGAGAAAGGCCAACAAAATGTCAGTGGTAACATTTTACAGTAGTAAAAAGACCTTAGAAGCTAACCACCCTCTGGTGATGCATCATTTTATACATAGACAACCAAGGGCCACAGAGATTACATTCCCAAAGGTTGCAGCATGTAGCCACATTTGTGTTATATTTGAGAAATTCCTATTTGAAAAATGCTTAATCGTTTTTACTTGATCCATTACAAATTTGAGAGTTCCCCATCCATGGTGAATACGAGGACCTGGTTTTATGTTTCTTTACTAAGAGCTAAACTTAAGATATGTTTCTTTAGTGTTAAGAATTAATGCCTCTCAGGTTGATGTAATATGATGGAATTTTCAGTAACCCAACTATGGTTACCCCTCAAGCATTTGCTTTTACTCAGCGTGGTCGATTTCAGAAATGCACACCAAAATGATGGGAGAAGGCTGGTTCAACACTGATAAACAATAGGAAGTCTATAGATTTTTCTGCCTAATTTAGGTAGGAGGAGGGGAGGGAACTAAGCAAGGAAGAGCAAAGCTTTCCCTCCCACACATAAAAATTCTTCATTCCTCACACTTTATACCAGTTGAAGGTTTGCTTTTGAATGAAAGACATGTGTCTTGCATTTGATTAAGTGGATTTTCAAAATACTGTTGCACCAAAAATGTACTCATTTGTGTTAGGAAAAAAATCAACTGTAGGGCTTCTAAGACATTTCTTTGTGTTTAAAAACAGAGCATAGATTTGAAGCCAGAGTCCCTAACTGCCAAACCCAGCTCTACTAACTAGGTGTGTGAGCTTTAGCAATTACCTAAGCTCTCTGTACTTTCCTTATCAATAAATCAGGGAAAATAATATACCTAATTTACAGGGTTATTGTGAGGATTAAATGAGCTAATAGGAAGTGCTTAGAAGAGTTTGGCACATAGTAAATGTTAGTTACTATTACTATTATTATTATTATCATTATTTTCAACGAAAGCCATTTAGATTTTACATTCCTCAGAGAAGCTGGGCACGGCAAAATGAGGTCCCCATTCTTCATGGTCACACTGTATCAGAACTTGTGATTTCTAGCTTGTAATATAGGTCATTCTGTGCTTTGTTTTCATTGATGGGGTGTTTTGTTTGTTTGGGGTTTTGCCTCTACTACTCTGTTGGGGAGGTTACATTCAGGATTCAGTTACACAAGCATTGAGTTTCACAAATACACTTCTTGTATGAATATAGTCTTAAATGTAAGATTCGGAGTGCTGGTAGAGAGCAACCACATTACAGAACAAAGGCAAATGGCCTTGGATCATTGGATCATTTGGTCATATCACAATAGTAACTGAATCCATTTTAAGGGAATTTGGTGTTTTCACATAAACGGGTATTAATTTGGGAGCTAAGAATACATAAGGATCTATCAGGAATTAATTATCCATAAGACAGAGTAAGACTAGTTGAATATTACCCTTTCTTTTTAAAAAGATTTTTATTTTTTTTATTTATTTATTTGAGAGAGAGTGCGCACAAGAGGAGGTACGGTCAGAGGGAGAAGCAGACTCCCTGCTGAGCAGGGAGCCCGATGCGGGACTTGATCCCGGGCCAAAGGCAGTCACTTAACCAACTGAGCCACCCAGGGGCCCTGAATATTACCCTTTTTAAACACAAAACATATTGTATTCATGTTAGAAAAGAAATCTTTTTTCTTTTTTGGAAGATTTTTTTTTTAAGTAATCTCTATGCCCAACATGGGGCTCGAATTCACAACACAGAGATCAAGAGTCACATGCTATACCAACTGAGCCAGCCAGGCGCCCCAATAGGAAGTCTTTTTTAATGCAATTCCTGGGCCAAGGGGGCTCACTATGTCCAGTGCCCACCCTCCTCTAGGAAAAATCGTCATCTGTGTGGGTCAGTGCTCCTAACCATGGATTTTCCACCTCAGTCTCAGCCCCTCACTATTCAGTACTCCTTTCTCCTCCCCACTGCCAAACCCTTCCACAATGAATAAATACCCTGCATTCTAGGGTTTTCACCAGCCTTCCCTCCACCCACATCATTGCTTCAACAGAAACCTGGCCTTCTGGGCATATCATTCTCACTCCTCACTGCTGCCTCAAGGGGTGATTATTTTCTCTTGCCCTGTGCTAATTGATGAGAGTGACTCTTCCTTATTCCACATGGATGATGCTTCCAGACAATTACCCCTCTACTCTCAATGCCTGGTGACTTCCTACTCATTGATGAAGACTCTGTATAAATGTTCTTTCTCCAAGAGGCCTTCCCTGACCCCCACCCCACACATACACACACACAAGCAGCTTAATGTGACTCCTTTGCCCCTTGTTACATACATATATTGTAGTACTTTATCTTATTGGTATAAATTTCTCCAGGGTGAACAGGAAAGGAATTCATTTTTGCTGAGTGCTTATCATAACTGCCCTAGAGTATTTCATTTAATCTACACACAACCCAGTGAGGTGGTTATTGTTTGCCTCATTTTAGAGCCAAGAAACCTGAGAATGAAAACTATTTTTTTAAAGATTTTACTTACTTGTTTATTTGAAAGAGAAAGAGAGGACACGAGTAGGGGGAAGAGCAGAGGGAGAGGGATAAGCAGACTGTGTGCTGAGCAGGGAGCCCGATGAGGGGCTCGATCCCAGGACCCCGAAATCATGACCTGAGCCGAAACCAAGAGTCAGATGTACGCTCAACCCACCGGGCCACCCAGGTGCCCTGAGAATGAAAACTATTAAGTAATTTCCCCCAAAGACACATGGCCGGTGAGATTCAGGACGGAGATTCATTCCCAGGTCTGCTTCTCTCTAAATTAGCCTGTGTTCTTTCAACTACACCCACTCCACATTCCTAAATTTAAACCATATTTTAGAAGCTGATGTTTGTTTTGATGGGTGCTCTGTTCATTATGCAAGCATGATTTTGCTTTGAACTTGATTTCAGTGTGACGGATGCTTGATGGATGTTCTCTGTCTTCATAATGCAAGCATTCTTTTGTTGGACCAATTTCAAACATTATCCAGATTCCACATTTTGTCTTAACACCATGCTTTTTTGAAATAAAATTTTCCTGACTGATTCTTAAGCAACAGCCATTTTTATAAAGTAGTGACCATATATTTTTAATATCTCTTACGACCTCATAGCTATATACTTTGTGACATCTGTGTTGGCTTTTTATTTTCTGATTATCGACTGTGCCCCAAAAAGTTAAAATTGCCTGACCCATAACTTCTAGGTCAGTTTTTCAAGTAATATCAAGCTGCTTGCCCCACATCTTCATAGGATAAGGTATAATCACAGTCCAATGAAACATCTCATGGGGAGAAGCTGATGACAGTAAAATAAGGTAACTGCAAATAGGATAGAGAGAAGTAATAACATTACAGGTCAGAATGGCATAAAATAAAGTTGTCTAGACTAGTAAATTGAATTACTAGTAACTTCATCCCTCCCTTTCACTTACTCCCACATCTAATAGGTAGGCAAGGCCTGTCAGTTCTGTTTTTAAATTTATCTCAAATCTGCCCATTTCTGGGGTGCCTGGGTGGCTCAGTCAGTTAAGCATCTGACACTTGATTTCAGCTCAGGTCTTGATCTCATGGGTCCTGGTTTGAGCCCCCAGGCTCCTCCTTGCTCAGTGCTTCTCCCTCTCCTTCTGCCTCTCCCCTGCTCATGCTCTCTCTCTTTGTGTATCTGTCTCAAATGAATAAATAAAATCTTTAAAAAAAAAAAAAAGGATCTGCCCATTTCCCGGGAAAACAATAGTCCCATAAATGATCTTACAGAGTCTACATCTTCTACTACCATTCACATTCCTCCCCCTTTGTAATCTCCACACGGCAACCAGAGAAGCTCTTGAAACCATAAATGACCTACTGTCATTCCTCTGCTGCAAGAGATAATGAACTCTGTCAATAGTACCTTGGCAAAGCACACAGTACATGTATCTGGAGTTTTCTTGTTCCAAGTTACTCCAAGTAACACACTTTGGTTGTCCAAATTTGGCAAGATTATGAGTCCACCATCCAGACTTATGTGTATTGCTCTCCCACACAGAGCGATGATAAAGAAAACACGCCTCACACTATCCCAAAGTCTCTTAACCAGGCAGCAGCCCATATGGTTGGAGCAGAAAGCAAATGTATCTAGATTCAGTTAACAGACAGCACATATGGAGCCTCAGAAATACAGTTCTCACAGGTCAAGATCTCACTATGGCAGTGGTGCCATAATTCTAATAGCTGTACTCCTCCAAAAGGAGTCGAGAATGCCACATGACAAGCTCTCTGGTAAGTGATGTAAATCCTGCACAGAGGAAAAATTGATTGCAGTTGTTAAGTGTGTGAGGGCTTCTCGAAAAGTGAGGTGGATCATAATATGTTAATATATCCCTAAGTAGAGCTGTGCCATATTCACTAATGCTTCAGTCTGAATCAGTACTAAGACCTTTGTACTCTGAAAAACGTACTGTTGCTTGAGGTTGGGTCAATGAAAGCACCAGGATTCCTGAGCAGGGGAAACACACGCACATAGAGAGAGTTAGTAGGTCATTACCAAATAAAAGCATACCTATATTCATGCATATGTATTTAACTTTAGATTGTCATTACCAAGTAAAATAGACATTCGTGTCTTTCGACAGCTATTTATTAAACACTCAGTGTTTGCCAAATTTACAGGTGTAAAACCCTGGATTGGCCACTCTCTCTCTCTGTCACTAAGGGACCAATCAACCTTAACTTCCTAAATTCCTGTCCCCTCTCCGATTCTGCAACTCAGCAAAAGAAGAAAAAGACCAAATAATGTGCATACGCCTGTAATTAAAGTGAAAAATAGATCAAAATGCCTCCTCTTACATGATCTTTCATTGGTTCCTCCAACCAATTCCGCCTTCCCTTTTTTTTAATCCTTGTGTTACATTCACTTGCTTACTTTTTTTAAATGTGGGCCCTTTAAGCCTGTTCAACTGAGCAACTGTCACAGATGCTGCAACTGTCATAGATTCTGCAAGTTTGCTTCTGGATTCTTAAATACATTTAGTTTAGGTGGGCCTTAAGTATTAATCATGGCTTTTGATTCAAACCCAGCCTCCGAGGATACTTTTCAAGGTAAGAAATTTATCAAGAGGGGTTTCATACGCTAGCCTTGGCAGGAAACTTTTCGTGCCGTGCTACACTTACAGTGAGATGGCTACTAATCCAGAGTCCACAGTTTCGGTGCTTTGCTGTAGTCAGTACTCTAGTACTGATTGGCCATATTTTAGATAGTTTTTCAGAAATAATGTGCCATTAAACCCCTTAACTGTTTTTCTTGAATCTTTGTCAACTGACAGGGATTAGGGATTCAGTTTTGACTCTGTAATGGAGATTTTTCTTTTTTTTAGAGAGAGAGAGCAAGAACGCATGTGCACACAAGGGGGGGGGGGAGGGAGGGAGGTGGCCAGGGGAGGGGGAGGGGCAGAGAAAGGGGAAGAGAGAATCTCAGGCGGGCTCTGCGCCCAGTGCAGAGTCAACGTGGGGCTCAGTCTCACAATCCTGAGATCGTGACCTGAGCCAAAATCAAGAGTCAGATGCTTAACCGACTGAACCACCCAGGCGCCCCTGTAATGAAGATTTTTCTGAGCAAAGTTGATAAAGCTATTGCCTTCATGTTTTAAGAAACTGTCTTACAGTTCAGGCTCTCACGTGTTAAATGTTTATCAAAACTACAGCTACCGAAGACAAATTCTCTTTGATAAATGTTTTTAGATATGCTTAATCTGAAAATATTCTCAGAAAACTATTCATGATTCATTAATTTGTGTACTTCTAAAAAGTAACCTTTTCAGTAATTTAGACAATATCATCTAAGTCATTCTACTGAAACCTGTCTTCCAATATCTGTTTCAGCTCCAGCGTGCTGCTCTGCTCGCTACAACTTAGCAGTTTTGGCTTTTTTTGGTTTCTTCGTTCTCTATGCATTACGTGTGAATCTGAGTGTTGCGTTAGTGGATATGGTAGATTCAAATACAACTTCAGCAGATAACAGAACTTCTAAGGAGTGTGCAGAGCATTCTGCTCCCATAAAAGTTCTTCACAATCAAACGGTAAGTGCTACTTTTGGTAAGTGCTACTTTTTAAACAATCTTAATCCTTAAATACATCCAAGTAAAAATATTGAAAGGTCTTTCTTCATCCTACAGAAACCACAAACACTTTATGCATGGAGGCTCTGAATGTTTTTCTTTTGTGCTTTTTTCAGGAACTGGTTGAACAGTAAGGTAACTACAGCTACTGCTTCTTGGTGTAATACACTTTGATCTGTTTGAAAAGTAGTTTCTCAGTTTCCTCTATAAACATACCAACCATCCTTGAAGATAATTTGGAAAAACCTGTTTAGCATACCAGGAAATTTTATTGTTTTTGATGTTGCTGAATAGTTTTTATGGGACTATTCTGCAATAGCTATTTAAAAGGTTATGGTTGCAAGAGAGCTTAGGTCATCTGCAGGCTGAAGAATCAGGTCAATTTCTTAGGACGTTATTTTCCAAAGTTTATACATGCCTAACATAAGCTGCTTGAGTCACTTTGCCTGCTTCATGTTATAGTGGAATTGATAAGTATGTGTTCATCATTTGTTCATAATTGAGTTTTACATACATTAAATATTTTGTTTTGCTTATGACATGGGGAGATAGAGAAGGAGAAAAGGCTGGTGTCCTTTTTATGGTATATCTTCATCCATTTTCAGCGCTCACAAAGGAGCCAGATCACACTTGGGTTAGTCTCCTCTGCCGTTTATACACAAGAGCATCCAAGCTCAGAAGAGGGTTTCTGCCCAAACAACCAAACATACAAAATAATGACGTACCAAAATAGTTTTTTATTTGACTTTAATAACGTTGCTGAATACATATTTGAGTACACATCACCCACTTTCCCTACTTCAACCTGTGACTTATAACTGCTGGACGGTTCATGAGGTCCAAGAATTCTACAGATAAGCCACAAATTGGTACTTCAAATAAGGATAATTAGAGGGGTGCTTTGTATCTTTCCTTTTGGCAAATGCTTTTGTTGATCTAGCTAGTTATCTTCATCTGCCTTATATCAGCAGTAAAAAGAAATCCTGAGATGGTTCTTGACACATTGGCTCAGTGATACAACTATGTGAATTAAAGATGTCAGATATTCAGATGAGTCACTAAATCTTCATTATGACCTTACTATGTACTGCTACTAATTAAAAGACATCTCCTACTCACATGGAGTCTATGGCTTGGTTTAAATGCTTGCTCTTTTGTCTTGTTTAATATGCTTGTGCAAGTACTTGTTCTGAATCGGGGAGATATTAATGATCTATATTTGTGCATACTAATAACCAACATTAAGTGAGCACTTAAGTGTGTGTCAGGCCTTTTTCATTTAATCTTCCCAGACCGCAAATCCAGTAAGTAATAGAGCGAGGCTTGACCCCAGCCATGGCTCCAAAGCCTAGTTCAGCCACTACAATATTCTGTTTGGTAGAATTTCTGGATTAAGTCTGTGCCTCTTTTTTGAGCTTTCTTAGTTATGATCGTTACAAAGCCTCTACAACTCATCCTATAGTCTAGTTTCATAAAATAACAGGCCTTCTTGAAATTTATGGCTTTCAATTATTTTCCATTCACTTCTAGAAATTGCATGCCTATGCTGTGGTGACTCACCTACCTGATAGAACGTTTGCAAGTTCTTCCGTCTGAAACAGTGGTTCAAAATTACATTTATATGTACTAACCTGCCAATTAGACAAGGGAGCTATTTAGTCAAGGTCTTAAAATGTTGTTGTTATTGTTGTTTTCCTCCTACTCTTTATAGGGTAAAAGGTACCAGTGGGATGCAGAAACTCAAGGATGGATTCTCGGTTCCTTTTTTTATGGCTACATCATCACCCAGATTCCTGGAGGATATATTGCGAGCAAAGTGGGGGGGAAACTGCTGCTAGGATTTGGGATCCTTGGCACTGCTGTCTTCACCCTGTTCACTCCCATTGCTGCAGATTTTGGAGTTGCAGCCCTCATTGTACTCAGGGCACTAGAAGGACTGGGAGAGGTAATTTTTTTTCTCTCGTTTATTTTTCCTCTTACCCTGTATCACTTTCTTGTCTTCTTAAAGATATCATTCTTTGGTATGAATATAAACCAAAAATTGACATCGGAAGATAATAGGGCTTTATTTTTTAATTAGAAAGATAATTGGGGCGCCTGGGTGGCTCAGTCAGTTAAGCATCTGCCTTCAGCTCAGGTCATGATCTCAAGGTCCTGGGATGGAGTCCCGCATAGGGCTCCCTGCTTGGCTGGGAGTCTGCTTCTCCCCCTGCCTCTCCCCCTTGCCCCAACTCGTGCTCTCTCTCTCTCAAATAAATAAATAATATTCTTTTAAAAAAAAAGAAAAGAAAAGAAAAATGATTAACTAGAAAATAACCTGAGTAGATTGCATATCAGTGAGGTCAATGAGCTCTCGAATGGGAGCATGCAGAAAATGGAAGATTTGCTAAAAGATCAGAGAAAACATTTTCCAGGGGACACTTCACAGCCCCTCCTCCTACTCACTCCTACTTCAGGAGATAAGAAAATAAACCACTGTTAAAACGGTTAAGATGGACAGACCATCCTTACCTTTGGAACTTGGCCACAGTTTATCTCTGCCTTATCATTGATTGCCCAGATCTAAAACACATTTTACACAATGGATTGTCAGGTTGCCTTGTTTTACTTTAGATGTGTTGTTATTCATAGAGCTTCCTCTCTGTTCTTTTTTCTGGTTCCCTAGCTTAGAGACAAATAATTTATCATTTTATATAACTATCTTTCTTTACTTTTGTGATTCTTCTGACCTTTCTGCTGCTTTGGGAATTGTTATCAATTTTTATCTTTTTTTCCTCCCTCCTAAGATTTTTATCACTCGAAAATTTTAATTCCTTATCTTTCTTTTCCTTCCCACTTCTCTTTTGCATTTCATAATATGATTCCATTTATTTATTTATTTATTTATTTATTTATTATTTTAGAGAGGGAAAAAAGGAGAGACAGAGGGAGGGAGAGAGAGAGAGAGAATCTTAAGCAGGCTCCATGCCCAGCACAGAGCCCAACACGGGGCTTGATCCCATGACCCTGAGATCATGACCTGAGCCGGAATCAGGAGTTGGACGTTCAACCGACTGTGCCACCCAGGTGCTCCCAGTACCTCTATCTTTAAATAGTGATCTCTTTTTGTTTCTGACTTTGAGCTTCTACCTTTGAAACTGAGACATAGGTTAATTTTGCTCTTAACATTCCTGTAACCCAAGCGAATTGTTGTCCTCCGGGTTTGGTTTATAGCATTAAGCTTATGTTAGGTAGCAATGTATCATGCTGTGTTGGAAAAACACTGACTGGAGTCATAAGATCAGAGTTTGAGTAATAACTCCCCTGTATCTAATGGTGAAACCTTACATAAATCTCTAGACCTCAGTTCCTTAATTTTTAAAATTGGGACTAAAATACCTGCCCCATCCTCAGTCACAGCTCAGATGTGATAATGATTGCTAGAATACTTTGGAAATTGCCAAGTACTACTTTTTTTTTAAGCTTTGATCACTCATCCGAGCATTCTTATTTTGTTCTTATCAAATAGAGATGTACTAAATAAACTCTTTTGACTACAAAATAAAAATTACTCCCTTATTACCAGGTTCCTCTTCTGACATAAGTAAAATATACTTAATTGTAGTATATTTTCTCTGATCCAGATATTGAATCTCCTTGCTGAATGTATTCCCATATATTAGCTTCCTGTTTGTTTATGCCACTAATACAGCATTATAGTATATTATCTTACTACTGCTATCTCAAGTAACTATGTTACTTCTGAATAGAAGTTAAGTTGTGTTTATTCTTCTTTTATCTTTCTCTGTTCCTCCAGTATGTATCACATGTACATTGCCTCATCCATAAACTTAGGTCAGCATCTTTCATCTCTAGCATCTGATTCACCATAAATATATCTACATGATCCCTAGGGTTTTATAATAAATTTTTTCACAACATAACCTCTGTGCATATTTCCCAACACCTTAATCTTTATTCTGTAATGATTCATCCTGTGGATGCCCCATGATACAGATTCTTATCAACTTGCAATGCTGCCTAAATAATTTTTTTAAGATTTTATTTATTTAGGGGCGCCTGGGTAGCTCAGTTGGTTGAGCATCTGCCTTCGGCTCAGGTCATGATCCTGGGGTCCTGGGATTGAGCCCTGCATCAGGCTCTCTGCTCATTGGGGAGTCTGCTTCTCCCTCTCCCTCTGCCTCTATGCTCTCCCTCGCTCTCTCAAAAATAAATAAATAAAATCTTTAAAAAAAATTTTTATATATTTGGGAGAGTGAGAGAGAGCTCAGCAGGGGAGCAGAGGGAGAGAGAAAATCTCAAGTAGACTTCCCACCGAGTGTGGAGCCCAATGCAGGGCTCCATCTCACAACCCTGAGATCATTACCTGAGCCAAAATCAAGAGTTGGACCATGAACCAACTGAGCCACCCAGTTGCCCCTGCCTAAATCATTTTTGCCCTCCACTGGTATTTCTTTATTTCTTTCTTCTTCTTCTTCTTTTTTTTAAAGGAATCAGCAGAAAATACAAAGTGTCAAAGCATTTATTCTTGTCTCCATTAATAATAGCACTAGCTACCCTTTAGCTTTACAACAATCATGTGAGATAGGGAGTATTATCTTTGCTTTACAGATAAAAAAACTGAAGTTCAAGGAGGTTAACTAATCTTTGTTAGGCTGCACAGTTAGTGAGTAGCCAAACACAGCTGTGAGTCCACTGCTTTGAATCTACCAAAATCTATTCCCTCCCACCTCTTCTCTGGCATCTCCTCCTCTCCCAAGTCTCTGTGACCCTCCTGCCTCCACAGCTCTGTTGACTCTTCCTATCAGTAATTGACATTTACTAAGCTAGCTATCACCAAGAAAAGAAAAGAAAAAAAAAGACTATAAACACTCTAATTGAATTCATCAGGTTTTTGAAGGACAATTTTTCTTATTAAGGTCAATTTGAATTTTATTCCAGTATCCCAAAGTATTAGCTCAGCATTTTTTAAAGTTATATATTGGTAGTAATATTCCCATTTCATTCAGGCTATTAATAAAGTGAATGAGTAAAATTGACCTTGAGAGAGATTCCTTTATGTCATCATGCAGTGTATTCTTTTAGATTTATTGTAAATCCTTACCTTGTAGTCCTCAAACCAGCTGACAGAACCCACAAATCTTTGTTCAGATTTTGGAAGTACTTCACTATAAGGTACTTTTACTCAGCACTGTGCAAACATCTCACCTCATGGAACCCAATTCTAGTTTGGTTCTTATCCAGAAATTTCTCTTACAGGGACACCTGGGTGGCTCAGTCGGTTAAGCATCTGCCTTCAGCTCAGGTCATGATCCCAGGGTCCTGGGATCAAATCCCGCATTGGGCTCCTTGCTCAGCGGGGAGCCTGCTTCTCCCTCTGCCCCTTCCCCTGCTTGTGGGCTTGCTGTCTCTCTCTCTCTCTGACAAATAAATAAGCAAAATCTTAAAAAAAACAAAAACAAAAAAACCACCAAACTCTAAAAAAAACTTTTAAAAAACTTAAAAAAAAAATTTCTCTTACAACAAAAGACTCAACTGAATTAAAACATTAACAAAACTACCTTGGGGCGCCCTTGTGACTCAGTTGTTAAGCGTCTGCCCTTGGCTCAGGTCATGATCCCAGGGTCCTGGGGGCTCCCTGTTCCGCGGAAAGCCTGCTTCTCCTTCTCCCATTGCCCCCGCTTGTGTTCCCTCTCTAGCTGTGTCTCTCTCTGTCAAATAAATAAATAAAATCTTAAAAAAAAAACTACCTTATATTTCAGCAGAAATATCTTTTTCCCCTCCTCAGGGTGTTACATTTCCAGCTATGCATGCCATGTGGTCTTCTTGGGCTCCCCCTCTTGAAAGAAGCAAGCTTCTTAGCATTTCATATGCAGGTGAGACAACTATTCTTGTAAAAATTTTGCTACAATTTGTTATGTATATATCAGCCTCAGATTAAAAAAAAAAAAAAGACTTCACACCAGAATGATGTCAGATGCCTCCTTTGGGTGAAAATCAAGTTTTGGAGGTATAATTTTATTATTAAATTTTCTCTTCAGGGCGCCTGGGTGGCTCAGTTGGTTAAGCGACTGCCTTCGGCTCGGGTCATGATCCTGGAGTCCCGGGATCGAGTCCCACATCGGGCTCCCTGCTCGGCAGGGAGTCTGCTTCTCCCTCTGACCCTCCTCCCTCTCATGCTCTCTGTCTCTCATTGTCTCTCTCGCAAATAAATAAAAATCTTAAAAAAAAAAAAAAAAATTTTCTCTTCAGCTCAACAACATATAGCAATGTGGCTTAGTTGACTCATGTCATTTTCTCCACTGCCATCATTTATTTCTTTTTTTTTAAAGATTTTTTATTTATTTATTTATTTATTTATTAGAGAGAGAGAGAGAGCATGAGAGGGGGGAGGGTCAGAGGGAGAAGCAGACTCCCCGCCGAGCAGGGAGCCCAATGTGGGACTCGATCCCAGGACTCCAGGATCATGACCTGAGCCGAAGGCAGTCGCTTAACCAACTGAGCCACCCAGGCGCCCCGCCATCATTTATTTCAAAACATGTTGCTTGTTCAGATGTTCATATAAAGAATGCTATGGTTTGTTTCTTTTTAAGGTCCAATAGCTGAAAAATTGAACACTTTTGTCCTTAAATTGTGATTTCTAATCTGATTGTCTAATGAGCATATCATTAGACAATCATCTCTTCATACATCTTTTTTCTATGCATTTATTTGCCATCATTTTAATCAATAGGTGAGATAGCATGAGCTTTATATGTGAATTATAGTTTTACCAGATCACACACCGAATGAATACTTTTGGACCTGACTGCTGTTAAATACAGTGGTTGAGAAAGACCTCTCTGTGGTCACCTAAGCTAAAATCTACAGGATAAAAATGAACCAGTCATGCAAAGAGCAGAAGAAGGAGCATTCCAGCCAACCAGAACAGCATGTACAAGGGCTCTCAGGCAGGAAATAACATAAGAGTTCAAAGAAATGAAAAACCAGTGTGGGTGGCTAGAACTTAATGAATAAAGGGGAGAATGGCGTAAGATGAGGTTGGAGAAATAGACAAGAACCAGATTATATCAGGCCTTAGAGCCACAGGAAGAAATGTATTTGTTATTTTTTTTTTCCAAAATACAATGAGGAGACATCAGAGGTGTTTAATCAAGAGAGAGACACGATCCAATTTACATTTTAAGAAGATGCTTCTTACAGCTATGTAAAGGTCAACATGAGAAATCCGATATAAGTTCATGAGCAGGTACTAGCTATGGTTCCCCTTTACCTATTGAGTGAAGCCTAAGCTAGAACTGGGGTCAAGATTCTTTACAGTCTTCACCACTTCATTTCAGCTAGCCTAATCCCTAGCACATAGTGCCTGAAGTGGAGTAGATATTCAGTTACTATCCAACCTATTTTTCCAGCCTTTATCTTCTGTTCCTTTCCTTCACCCAGGCAAAGTTCCCAAACCCACTCTCTGCTTCCCAACTTCATTTCTTTACTTGTCCTATTACATCTACCTCTATGGGACAAAAATCTTACCCATCTTTCAAAGTCTATTGCTGCTTCTTATATCTTTTCCTGACCTCTGGGAGTCAGAGGTCATCTGTCCCATATTTGAACTTCCACATTGCTCTGTGACACTTAACACTTTCTAACACGTAATAATTATTTATTTTTACCTCCTCTAAAACTTGACACCAGAAGCAATATCTGATTATTTTAACTGCCACTCGACCTACTAAGTTGTCTTCTATTTGGTGATTAAAATGAATTTCATTATGGGGCACCTGAGTGGCTCAGTCAGTTAAGCGTCTGCCTTCGGCTCAGGTCATGATCTTGGGGTCCTGGGATCGAGTCCCGCATCGGGCTCCCTGCTCTGTGGGGAGCCTGCTTCTCCCTCTCCCTCTACTGCTCTCTCGCTCAAATAAATAAATAAAATCTTTTTAAAAAATGAATTACATTATTTATTTATCTGAAACAATCATTTGTAATATATTTTGGGCAAATTAGATTACTAAAAGCTTCATTCTTATCTCATCAATTGTACTGCAGTACGTTATGTTTATCAGCCTTAGATCTTTGAACCTTTCCCCAAACACCTGAATTTCTTTTTTTTTTTTTTTAAGATTTTATTTATTTATTTGAGAGAGAGAATGAGATAGAGCACGAGACGGGGGAGGGTCAGAGGGAGAAGCAGACTCCCCGCTGAGCAGGGAGCCCAATGCGGGACTCGATCCCGGGACTCCAGGATCATGACCTGAGCCGAAGGCAGTCGCTTAACCAACTGAGCCACCCAGGCGCCCCAACACCTGAATTTCTAACACATTTCTACTAATGTGGCATTTACTAGCTCATATTATAATGGGTCCTATACTGATTGATGCATTCTAATTCATCAATAGCTACATAGTTGTAACCAGTGTAATTACAAATTAATGTGTATGTTTTACATATTGTGGGTTTTCTAGCAAATGATTCCTTGAGAGAATCTGTTACCCATCTTCCTTAAGCAGTAGACCTATCCCCTCTTTGTTCATCTCTCTAGAAAGTTTACAAAGTCTTTATTGTTGTTCTAGGAGCACAGCTTGGGACAGTAATTTCTCTTCCTCTTTCTGGAATAATTTGTTTCTATATGGATTGGACTTATGTTTTCTACCTTTTTGGTAAGTTTTCTCAAAAATTTAACTTAAATCATAATGTAACAAATCCAAAATGTAATAGTAGTATAATACTTGGTTAAAAATATATATTCCTAATAACTGAAGTTGCCAACTCCTAAACCACAAAGTTCTAAAATACTTACTGATAATCTGTCTCTTAACTTTATATAGTTAAAATGATCTAGTTGAGTTATGATATGATGTTAATTTTGGAATATTTCTCAATAGAAACTGCTGTTGAATCCAAGACTTTAATGCCATACTCACTATCAAAAATTACAGTGTGGGTTATTATAAAAATTTATATTTTGAGAAGATTTTTTCTCAAGCAAAGTAGGATGCCCTCACTTGGTAACTTTAATCTTTTTCTCTTTTTATTCAGTCCCAGGACCTTTCATTTCTCAATCTCATTAGCAGGATGATACATGCTTTTATTTTTTTTATTTTTTTATTAACATATAATGTATTATTTGTTTCAGGGGTACAGGTCTGTGATTCATCAGTCTTACACAATTCACAGCACTCACCATAGCACATACCCTCCCCAATGTCCATCACCCAGCCACCCCATCCCTCCCATCCCGCTCCACTCCAACAACCCTCAGTTTGTTTCCTGAGATTAAGAGTCTCTTATGGTTTATCTCCCTCTCTGGTTTTGTCTTGTTTCATTTTTCCCTCCCTTCCCCTATGATCCTCTGTCTTGTTTCTCGAATTCCTCATATCAGTGAGATCATATGATATTTGTCTTTCTCTGATTGACTTATTTCACTTAGCATAATACCCTCTAGTTCCAACCACGTTGTTGCAAGTGGCAAGATTTCATTTTTTGATGGCTGCATAATATTCCAGTGTGTGTGTGTGTGTGTGTATACATCTTCTTTATCCATTCATCTGTTGATGGACATTTAGGCTCTTTCCATAGTTTGGCTATTGTGGACATTGCTGCTATAAAAATTGGGTTGCAGGTGCCCCTTCGGATCACTACATTTGTATCTTTGGGGTAAATACCCAGTAGTGCAATTGCTGGGTCATATGGTAGCTCTATTTTCAACTTTTTGAGGAACCTCCATACTGTTTTCCAGAGTGGCTGCACCAGCTTGCATTCCCACCAACAGTGTAGGAGGGTTCCCCTTTCTCCGAATCCTCACCAACATCTGTCGTCTACTTGTTAATTTTAGCCATTCTGACTGGTGTGAGGTGGTATCTCACTGAGGTTTTGATTTGGATTTCCCTGATGCCGAGTGATGTTGAGCACTTTTTCATGTGTCTGTTGGCCATTTGGATGTCTTCTTTGCAGAAATGTCTGTTCATGTCTTTTGCCCATTTCTTGATTGGATTAGTTGTTCTCTGGGTGTTGAGTTTGATAAGTTCTTTATAGATTTGGGGTACTAGCCCTTTATCTGATATGTCATTTGCAAATATCTTCTCCCATTTTGTCGGTTGTCTTTTGGTCTTGTTGACTGTTTCCTTTGCTGTGCAAAAGCTTTTTATCTTGATGAAGTCCCAATAGTTCATTTTTGCCCTTGCTTCCCTTGCCTTTGGCGATGTTTCTAGGAAGTTGCTGTGGCTGAAGTGGAAGAGGTTGCTGCTTGTGTTCTCCTCAAGGATTTTGATGGATTTGATACATGCTTTTAATAAATTAGATTGCCATGTAGACATTTCATGCAGAAAATACATCTGCAATCTAAACAAAAAACGAATCAATGAGTGAAAACAGATAATCTGTGGAAATAATAGATTGTGGAAATTTTTTTTTTAAATATTTGTCTGATAGACTCTGATAGGCAGAGTCATGTGGTTAAAGTTGTTTTATTCAAAACTGATAGGAAATAATGCAGATAGCAAGTATCCCGTTAGGAAATTATGAGTGGAACTTAAAATCAACACTAAGCTGAAACCAATTTTATGTTGATAATTAATAATTACATAACTTTTTCAAGACATGTAAAAGTTGTTGGTGGTGCATTCTAATTTTATTTAACTTATTTTCTTATTTTAAGGTATAGTTGGCATCATTTGGTTTATTTTATGGATCTTTTTAGTTAGTGAAACGCCAGAAACTCACAAGACAATCTCCCGCCATGAAAAAGAATATATTCTTTCATCATTAAAAAATCAGGTATGGGGGCGCCTGGGTGGCTCAGTCGTTAAGCGTCTGCCTTCGGCTCAGGTCGTGATCCCAGGGTCCTGGGATTGAGCCCCGCGTCAGGCTCCCTGCTCTGCAGGAAACCTGCTTCTCCCTCTCCCACTCCCCCTGCTTGTTTCCCTCTCTCGCTGTGTCTCTTTCTGTCAAATAAATAAATAAAATCTTAAAAAAAAAAAATCAGGTATGGACCTTGGCACATTTTTAAAACAACTTCAGGGGGCGCCTGGGTGATGGTTGAGTGTCTGCCTTTGGCTCAGGTCATGATCCCGGGGTCCTGGGATCGAGCCCCGCGTCAGGCTCCTGGCTCAGCGGGGAGCCTGCTTCTCCCTCTCCCTCTGCCTCTCCCTCTGCTCATGCTCTCTCTATGTCTGTGTCTCAAATGAATGAATAAATAAATAAATAAATAAATAAAAATTAAAAAAAATAAAACAGCTTCAGAACCTTTTTTCCTTCAGATTTGAGGTACCAATTTTTTAAAGAGATATTTCTATTATGCATGTTCTGGGCAAAGTAGAGTGCAGGCAAATGAAATAAATGAAGTATTGGTTTGTTTTATGTGAGAAATTCCAATTCTTTCAAGATTAAATTAATGGAAAAAGTTACTTTTATAAGTCACTTTAATTTTTATTTTTTTAAAGTAATCTCTACACCCAATGTGGGACTCAGACCCACAATCCTGAGATCAAGAGGTGCATGCTCTACCAACTGAGCCAGCCAGGTGCCCCTATAAGTTGCTCTAAACCTTCTAGAGTAATGGTTATCAGTAAGTCTTAAATTTGTCTTCTTAATTAATAGAAAATAAAATGTTAGTTGTTAGAAAACTAGTATTTTTATCTGCATTTTATTTATTTATTTTTCTCTTTTCTTTTTTCCCCTCCCCGAACCCCTTATCTGTATTTTAAATGAGTGTGATTTAATAAGGAAGACAGCACATTGTTATGATATATAATATGACATACACCTACCTATTTGCTCCTCTAGAGTAGATCCTTGGAAAAAAATTTATGTTATTAAAGCTAGATTTAGCATGCCAGAAATAAAAGTCTGTCATAATTTAATACAGTAAATCTTCCAAGTCATGGAAACAAAATATTTGTCTTTTGGAGGGAATAAAAGAAGAACATGAAAAGTCAGGAAAAATTAAAATATATACAGTCTTGTTTAGCATTTTAATGCCTTCATAATTACTTTATTAGTTTAAGAACAAAATATTTTATATAAAACTTTTCTTACCCATTAAGTTCTTATTGATATTTTCAGTTTTTATATATAGTATAACAAGGCAGCAATTAAATACTCATTCACCTTTCTTTTTAAGTTTTTAAATTTTGCTGCTCTATAAGCTGCTGAACTTTAAGAAATATGGCGCCTCTTGGTCTTAAGGTTGGCAAAAACTCAGAAGAAATCACAATATAATAAATAAAGTTACTTTGAGATCTTGGTGTCCTCTGAGATGTTAATCAAATGAGTCCCCTATTTTTTTCCCTAAGGAACAGATAAAAATAATTTAATGCATTGTGAGATCTTGCCAAATAAACCTTGATTCGTCTTGTCACATTTCCTCAGCATTGATGGTCAACAGCTTACTTATTTCAATACTTCATTTTTATCATTATTTTTATGGACTTATGAAACCTTTTAGTTTATTTAGATTTTTTTTAAAAGCTTTTTTTCTCTACCTTGATATGTGTCTAAAGCTGTCCTTTATCCAAACTTAAGGTTAATTTGTTTTTCCATATGCTTCAGAAAACAAAATATTCAGAAGCAAGAGGAGTTAGGAGGATTACGTTTCATAGAATTCCAAACCACATTCTTAAACCAGATGATGCTGTGGTTAAAGATGTCATAAAATAAAGGTGCCTGGCTGGCTCAGTTGGTAGAGCATGTGACTCTTGATCTCAGGGTTTTAAGTTTGAGCCCCATGTTGGGCAGAGAATTTACTTTAAAAAAAAGAAAAGAAATGTTATAAAATTACATGAAGCTCCACCTTTAAATCTTGCATCTAAGAAATGTGCAGTATCCGCTGTACTTCATTCATTCTTCAACCATTTTTTGAGAATTACCATGTCCTAGGTTCTTTGTCAGGTACTGAGGACTTAAAAATTAATACGAGAAAGAAAATGAACAAGACAGGGTTCCTGTGGTACCTGTGATCTCCAGAGGGAGACAGACATGGGTGTACATAATTTCAATATGATATATGCTACTATATAAAAATAAATGTTCCCTCTCCTTCTCTTCCCCCAAATCCCCTACATCTTTGATACAGAGTGGAGAACACAAGAGTATATCTACCGCGTCAGATAAAAAGTCCCTAGGAAAAGAAAGCCACAAGAAGGTTAATAATAGTTCTTCCCCTCTTTGAAATAACCGTGAACCTTGGAAGCAGAAACATAGATTGCTCTGTTAGCTTTTGAGAAAGAAACCGTAACGCCTCAGTGTATAGGAAATGTAATAATCTGATGCTCCAGGCTAGTGGATTCAGGCTTCTTAATCATGCATCAATAAAAAGGTGGGGACTAACACTCTGAATATATGTATATTTGTTCATGGCTATCTACATGTACTCCTGTACTTATATGTATTATAAAACATGTCTAAAAATAGATTTTTTTAAGAGTAAATAAAATGAAATAAACAGTATGTACATGAATTTGAAATTTTAATAGGAAAAACCTTTTTATCACTTAAAAATTAGTAATAATAATGTTTAATGGGAGCGGAGTTGAATATGTTGTATTTGATAAGCCTACCATGACTCTGCTTGGTGAGGTAGCTGACAAAGGACTGATGAGGAAAAGTGTCAGTTCCACTATTGTCTTAGTGTTCTTCTGTACCTGCCTTATTAGAATTCTCTTCCATGACTTTCTCTGTTAGAATCTTTTGAAGATACTGTCAATTTTATAGATTTGTTTTCACTAAAGCTGGCTAATAAAATCCATAGACCCACTTAAGAAGGTGGGTGTAAACTGTACTATGTTGTAGTCTTGTAGTGAGCAAGCCGACAAGTGAGGACGCCATTAACCCCTTCGAACTGGGGAGATGATACCATATGTGACTGTCCGACATACTCCAGGGCCAACCTAGTTATTAAATATTAATGGAGTTTAGTTTCTCTTTTTTATTTATTTTATTTTATTTTTTTTGTTACTAAAGATTTTATTTATTTATTCATGAGAGACAGAGAGAGAGAGAGAGGCAGAGGGAGAAGCAGGCTCCCAAGGAGCAGGGAGCCCGATGAGGGGCCTGATCCCAGGACCCTGGGATCGTGACCTGAGCCGAAGGCAGACACTTAACCATCTGAGCCACCCAGGCGCCCTAGTTTCTCTTTTTTAGAATAAAAGTGAGTGTAGATAGAAATTCTAAAATGGGGATGCCTTCGGCTCTGGTCCTGGGATCAAGTCCCGCATTGGGCTCCTTGCTCAGCGGGGAGCCTCCTTCTCCCTCTGCCTGCCGCTCCCCCTGCTCATGCTCCCTCTCCCTCTGACAAAGAAATAAAATCTTTAAAAAAAAAAAAAAGTTCTAAAATGTTCTTCCATACAGCAAGGGGTCATCTTACATCCCCCTTGGGTGCTTACACCTACTTTGAAGACCATTTTTCCAGATGCTGCATAAATAAACCTCTATTGCACCCTTCATATAAGTCATTGTAATTGAGTAAAGATTGGACAGTGAAATAGGAATTCTAATAGGACTTCCAGTCTCATTCCTTTGCCCTTACGTCAACCTCTGATTTTTATTATGAAACTATTCTCTATTTTATAGATGAAGAAATTAATACTGCAGGTGAATTCTGACATTCATAAGGAGTTATAAGATTACATTTCTGTTTTTTTCTTTCAACCTGAATCATGGACTCTCTATTGCTGGTTAATATTTTGAAAGAGTTGGTTTAAAACTCTGGAATTTACTGGGGCACTGGGTGACTCAGTCGGTGAAATGTGTAAGTCTTGATTTCAGCTCAGATCATGATCTTGGGGTCATGATCTCAAGGTTGTGAGATTGACCCCGCATTGGGCTTCACACTCAGTGGGACATCTGCTTCTCTCTCTTTCCCCCTTCCCCTGCTCGTGCTCTCTCTCTCTAAAATAAATAAATCTGGGGCGCCTGGGTGGCTCAGTTGGTTAAGCGTCTGCCTTCGGCCCAGGTCATGAACCCGGGGTCCTGGGATCGAGCCCCACATCGGGCCTCCTGCTCTGCAGGGAGCCTGCTTCTCCCTTTCCCACTCCCCCTGCTTGTGTTCCCTCTCTCGCTGTGCCTCTCTCTGTCAAATAAAAAAATCTTAAAAAAAAAAATTAAATAAAATAAATAAATTAAATTAAATAAATAAATCTTTACCCCCCCGGAAAAAAAACTTCTGGAATTTACTAATCAAGGCTGGTAATGTGTTCTAGATGGAAGTTTGGCTGATAAGGTACAGATATAAACGTAGCATATACTCATTGTGCCTGTTATTTTTTTTAGCTTTCTTCACAGAAGTCAGTGCCGTGGATACCCATGCTAAAATCACTGCCTCTTTGGGCTATTGTAGTTGCACATTTTTCTTACAACTGGACTTTTTATACTTTATTGACGTTATTGCCTACTTACATGAAGGAGATCCTAAGGTTCAATGTTCAAGAGGTAAGAAAAAATAATCATCTCCTTCTTATATAAAGAATACATTTTTAAACTACAGCCAGGATTTGTTTTTATCTATATAAAATTCAGTCATTTTGTATCTTTGATTTTACAGTCACCTACTGAATTCTAGAGACTGCTCTTTTTGCTTCACAGTTGTACCTTCTTTGTTCAGTGTGTGTTCTTGATTCAAGGCATCTTTTGGCTGGTATCCCCCTTAACCAGAAAGGTCTTAGTAGGCCCTAGTAATATGCCAGAATAGCAGATGACAAATTGAAGCGTACCTGTCAAAGGGCTGGTGGTGGGACTCTGCTGGCAGCTGAGAGGGAACTTGGGAGACATGAGGTTCCCGTGCAGAGGTTGCTCTGCAGCGTTATTCAGGCACTGGCCAGCTATAATTGCAAAGCTGTATGAGAAGGGCTTCCTGGGATGCCTGGGTGTTAAGCGTCTGCCTTCGGTTCAGGTCATGATCCCAGCAAGTGAGCATGAGCGGTGGGGAGGGGCAGAGGGAGAAGCAGACTCCCCACTGAGCAGGGAGCCCGATGTGGGACTCGATCCCAGGACGCTGGGATCATGACCTGAGCCGAAGGCAGACACTTAACGACTGAGCCACCCAGGTCCCCAATTTTGAAGATTCATAGTAGTTTGCAGAAGGTAGTTTTAGGTTGTTAGGAGAGTTTTTAACACTTGAACCTTAAGTGGAAAATTTCAGTAACTGATGAATTATCAGTCTTATCCCATCAGGGAACAAGACCAAGATCAGAAATTTCTCTTCTCTATTTGCTTCAGTTTATTCATGTGTAGGATTCTGCCACAAATAATGATAGACGTGATCCTGTTCTGCAGAAATCTAAACAGAATAAACTTTAAAGAAGAAATTACTCAGCTCAATACGAGAAAGAAACAAAAATCTTAGCTACAGAAGTAGAAATAGAAGCATACAGCATCTGAATATAGAGGACCACAAAACTATGATGAAAAAAACGGAATCTTTTCTTAAGCACACTTAAATTTAAAATATCAACAGGTTTTGTTGGTTTGTACCATTCATGATGGTTAATGGAATTATTACCAGATTTAAATACCACTGATAAAATATCATTCTACCTTTTTTGTAAAACACTACCTTAGTTGTAAAATACTAAAAGGTGTGCCCATCTTTCTCAGACTATAAAAACATTTGTTCTTATCAAAATTAGACCATTTAGTTTTGGCACCCTAGCTTTATGCTGGGGAAAAATGAATAGAAGAAAGAAATGTCTTCTTTTCTTTCCCCAAGTATGTGTTCTACATTTTACAGAATTTGTGATTTCCTAAAAAGCTGACCGTTGAATCATTTCCTACAAAACAAATAGCACATTTCCATGATAAATTGTTTCATATCTCCTGGTGCTTTTATTTTTTTAGGTGGCAACTTAAAGGAAAAGAAGAGGGAAACATAGAGGTCTATCACCTCACTACCTGTGTGCTCTGCTCAAAGCATGTGGTAGTGCACTGGGCACCTGACCTAGATGGTGTTCATTCTAGAATAGTTCGTTAAGCTATACATTGGATTTATGTGGTTTTCTGTATCTGCATGTTATTTTACTATAAAAATATTTGTATAAATACAAATATAAATATGTATAATTATATATACTATATAACAATTTTATATAATAATTTAGAAATATATTTTTAATATTTTCTATCTTTATATTTATATAAAATATAAATTGTTATATCATTTAAAATATAAATAATATAAATTTTAAAATATAAATGAAAGTATAATTGTTTATATATAAATATATTTACAGTAATTTTATATTTTTATAACAATTTTATATATAATAATTTAAATATAAATATATAATACATATATAATATATAAGGATTATATAAATATAAATAAATAAGTGAAAATGGACCAAAAACTAGACCATAGGGAGAATCTATAGCTAATAGACTTGTCCTCTCTTACTGAAGCTGCACCCCAAGTCCCAAAATAACATGTAAGATTACCTTGAGCAGACTGGACTGTGTAAATACCAACAATATATTGCTATGAATTTTCTTTTTGAGGAAATTTTGGATGTGTGGATGTGTATGTTGTCTTGATTCTTCTTCCCCACCCCATAATTAATTCTGTATCTTCTTATTCCTTCCAGAATGGGCTTCTATCCGCACTGCCTTATTTTGGCTGTTGGTTATGTATGATCCTGTCTGGTCAAGCTGCTGACAATTTAAGGGCAAAATGGAATTATTCAACAATATGTGTCCGAAGAGTTTTTAGCCTGATAGGTAAGTGAAGTGAGTCAGGGTTTGTTTTGGTTTACAATTATTTACTGTGTTTATAATGCAAGGCAAAATAAAGATGATATTAGTCATTTATTTTGTTCACATATTAAAACATGATTTTTTTTTCATGATTTTTAATGCATGTAGTGCATTTCTGTACAGGATGGTTGGTTCTTTCTGAACCATGCATGTTGAGGGTTAATATTGATCATATCCTATTATCTCTACCATAGTCTTATAACTATAAAAAATGGCTTGCTTTGCTGAATATCATTTCCAGAATTTTCTAAATCACTGTGTTTCAGCTCTAAGTTTGTAGTGAAAATAATATTTTTAAGTCTCCATCCCTTTTCTAAATGAATACATTTTCAACTGCAATCCAAAAACATTTACTAACATCATTACATTAAATGAGGAGCTATAAATCAAAGAACTCAAAGGAACCTTCAATAATCATAAGTTTCAGACTGTTTTCATAAAGGTAAATTTTAAAACTGTATAGGACAATTGCTTCATTTCTTTTTTTTTAAAGATCTTGAGTAAGTAGAGACCCTGGAAGTCTCTGATGGCTATAGTTCAGAAATTACATTGTAAAAGGACCCTATTCAGGATAATTCTACAAACACCTTCTGAGCGGCTACTGCTGGAAGATGCTGTCCTGTTGTATTGCTTGCTTATTTCAACTCTCAAGAAATTTTTCCACACCTGCAAATAAAATAGATCCCATTAGAGTCAATCCAATTTTCCCTTTTTTGGCTTCCTGTTCACCTGCTCTGTCCAATATGGTAGCCACTATCCATATATGGCTATTTACATTTAATTGAAATACAAATACAAATATGCAAATACAACATTTCCATCATCACAGAGAGTTATTGGATAGCACTGCTGTAGAACAGAGAAAAAATGGCAAACCTCTCATTAAGTCCCTTCCTGTTACTTGTATTTTGTGCTTAACTGCCTATAATAAAATACGTATATTGCTATGAATGCTAAAACCTAAATGGAGTGTTTTTCTAACTTTATTCAACAGAGTTTATTTAGTTTATCTTCTTTGGTTATATGAACTTTAAATCTCATTCTGTACCAACTATAGCTTCTCTCCAGAACTATATTTTTCAGTCATTCTCTTCTTGCTCTTTGTAGAACTTTAGCTGAGTCTTGGTCACAGGAAGATTTAATAATATTGCATAGTGATATTTTCCTTTTACTTTTACATTAGTTGCATTATGTCTATGTTTTTTCCGGCAGTTTTTGTTTTGTCATGAAAACTGTAATTTAAACTGAGTCTTTTATGCAGTACAGCGTTTCTACAGTAGGTGGCAGTGATATCAAATCTCAGATTTATACTATATTAAGGTAGTCCAAGCAAATATTAATACTGAGGCTTCTTTTTCTGTTTATAACTTTTTAACTCCAGGAATGATTGGACCTGCGGTATTCTTGGTAGCCGCTGGATTTATAGGTTGTGATTATTCATTGGCTGTTGCATTCTTAACCATATCAACAACACTGGGAGGCTTTTGCTCTTCTGGATTTAGCATCAACCATCTGGATATTGCTCCTTCGTGAGTACCAATATAAAGATTGGCTATGATTGACTTTAAATTCATTTTTTTTTAATTATGGTAAGATATATATAACATGAAATATACCATTTTAACCTTTTTTTTTTTTTAAGATTTTATTTATTTATTTGACAGAGAGAGACACAGTGGGAGAGGGAACACAAGCAGGGGAAGTGGGAGGAGAAGCAGGCTTCCCGCTGAGCAGGGAGCCCAATGCGGGGCTTGATCTCAGGACCTTGGGATCATGACCTGAGCCAAAGGCAGACACTTAATGACTGAGCAGGGAGGCATCCCCCATTTTAACCATTTTTAAGTGTACAGTTCTGTGGTATTAACTATTCAGGTGTGAAGATGATATGCAACCATCACCACCATCCAACTCTAGAACTTTGTCATCTTCCCAAGCTGAAACTGTTCCCATTAAACACTAACTCCCCATTCCTCACCTCCCCACAGTCCCTGGCAACCTCCATTCCTCTTTCTTTCTCTATAAATTTGACTATTCTAGGAATAACCTTAAATTCTTAAACAAGGGGCACCTGAGTGGCACAATCAGTTGAGCACCCAAATACTGGTATTGGCTCAGGTCATGAATGGGGGCAGGGGCCGCCATGGCATCAAGATCAAGCCCCACATGGCATAAGACTCACCCCCCCACTCCTGCTCAGTGAGGAGTCTGCTTTAAGACTCTCTCTCCCTCTCCCTCTGCACCTCTCCTCCCCCCGCAAATAAAAAAAAAAAAACTTAAAAAAAATAAATTCTTAAACAAGATTTCAGTTTACCTGATAGTTAACACATGAGATTGTTTTTATTTATTTATTTTTTAAGATTTTTACTTATTTATTTGACAGAGAGAGAGATAGCGAGAGCAGGAACACAAGCAGGGGGAGTGGGAGAGGGAGAAGCAGGCTTCCTGCCGGGCAGGGAGCCCGATGTGGGACTCGATCCCAGGACCCTGGGATCATGACCTGAGCCGAAGGCAGACGCTTAACGACGGAGCCACCCAGGCGCCCGATTGTTTTTAAATTTAAACTTTTAACTGTCATCACCTCTGTACACAGTTTCCCATAAAAACATTATGCATAACCCATGATAACTTGTGTCTGTCCACCCAGCTAGAGTAGGAACTCTGAAGGCAGACGCTGCATTACCATCCTCAAGGCTCACCATGGGGCTTGGCACATAGTGGGCATTTAGTTGGATGGATGAATGCCCAAGACTAGACCAAGTTATTTGTCCAGTTATTATCTTACCTATGTGCAAATATATTTGTCTAGCACTTGATAGCTTACAAATCACTTTCACAAACAGTACCTCATTTTATCTTTAAAGCATTCCTAAAGAGATAGATATTCTTAACCTATTTTATGACTAAAGAGACTCAGATTCAGAGAAGTTAAGTGATTTGTCTTATATCACACAGCTAATAAATGATAGAGCCCAGACTTGAACCTAAAATTCTTACCTTTAAGCCCAGAATTCTTTTTTTTTTAAGCCCAGAATTCTTTTTACAGCTACCTCTCTGGAAATATTCTCTGGGCCACATACTACTAGGATTCTTTTGGGCCAGTTGACAAGGTAGAGGAGGGGGCTGTGTAAATATTTTAACCCAGAAGATTTGGTGCACTTAATTTTTAATGGATATGGATTTATTTTTGGAGAAAAGATAGGTGGTCTTGTACCCTCTTTCCCCTATCCCAAATTCTTCACACCTGGACTGCCACAGAATTTTCTGATTCCTATTAATCCTCAGTCTGCCATCCCTTCAATAAGTACCTTAAGTAAGAAGTCCAAGAAGGTTCCATAGATCAGACTGTAAGTGTGCCCAGCTCCCTGCTGAGTCCTATCTGCCACTTTGCAGTGCCTTCTACTAAAGGTTCATTTTCGGCCCCTGTGGCAGTATTGTTTCCTCTCCACGGCTCTGCACCCTTCCCACTTCACACCCCAGTTCGTCATTAGGCCTTTCCAGACCATTAATGCCTATTTTTTCTCTTCCTCTTCTCAGTGCATTCCAGTTATAATTTTATGCTAGACGCATTTATATTCACTGCCTTACTTTGATTTGTAATTATTTTAAATGCAAGTCTTATCTTTCTTATCTCCCCAACTTGGATGTAAACTCATCAGACTGAGACATGCTCTATATCCATATCACAGCTTCTGCACAAGGAGAGGCACACCCTCCTTGAGTGGTTGATTTATATAATCATACCAAGAAAAGTAGGAACTGCAGTGCTACATATACCCTTAACAGTGGGGAACCAAGAAAGAAAACCAGCAACACTTAGGCATTGGACCAAGAAACCATTTGATATAAAAGGTAACCTAAGCAAAAGCTCTGGGAATATAAGCTCTGAGAGCACAGGGGCCAAGTCCATCTTATTGACCCCAGCCATACCAGAACTGGCCCTGTGCTGGGTCATGGTCAGTGCTCAATCAATGGCGTGAATGGAAGAAAGAAAATAGCCTTTCACATATTCTAAAAAAATATTTGGGTATTGATTTCATTGTATGTCAACACTTTGCTTTAAAGCTCTTTCTTTACTATTATATAATAAAATCAGTTTTTATATTCTCTATTAAATTTAAATACAGAATTCTCAGCCAACATGGAAAATCCCCCATATTATGGTCCCAATTTGTCTTTATAATTTTATTCCTCCCTTCCCTGCCTCATCTACTTTGTATTCTTTGCCCCAGGTGAACTAAACTACTCTTTATTTTCAAAAAATATCCCCCAAGACACACACACACACACACACATACACACACACATTCTTTTCCACCTTTGGCCCTATGCTCATGCTGGCCTATATACCTGGAATGCCCACACTCTGGATTTTTCTCATGTCTTGTAGTGATTAGATTCAGATACTGTGTCCCTGACCAGATTCACTGGCCTGTGACCTCAGGGAATCCTATCCAGAAGCCCCTAGTGATATTAATTTTGATCACCCAGTCAAGATGTTATAGTTTCTCTAATAACTACTTACTTTTTTCCCCCTTCAACTAATAAAGCATCTCTGGAAAGATGCTTTGAGATCATACAAACATCCTGCTCCTCATCAAACTCCCCTCACCACCACCAACTTAGATTTAGTGTCCATTGTTGAACGATGCCAAACCAGTTTTTACCATTAGGGCTTCAAAACAGTGGTATTTCCACCCTATCGCTCCCTCCACATTTATCAGTTGGCATTCTGTGGTAAGGAAGACCTTCCCTCCTCCTCCACTTGTTTCTCTCTCATCAGTGTGGACTCAGAGATTCCTAATCTATTTAATGAGTTATAATCCATTATTGTCCTTATCTGTTTTTATGCCCACATTATCTCAGATTTAGCCATAGGTGCCCCTTCAAGCTGGCTCTTGTAGCCTATCGACATCCCCCCACCCCCTCACCACCCCCCACCCTGCTTCTTCTTTGACCGCTTCTTTTTTGATGAAACAACTAGATGTTCCAGATTCATCTTGTATCTTCCCTGCCTTGAAATACCTTGGAATCTGTGATTTCTCCAAGGAACACTGGTTCCTTTTAGTGAAGAGTGGTGTTTAGAAACTAAGGGCCTGGCAAGAGATCATATGCTTTCATTACTAAGTTAGATTGCCTCTCCTAAGCAGAGGCTAGTTACTACTTAGAAATCACTTGAACCATTGACTGTTGTCAAAGGTTTATTTACAAAGAGAAACAAAAGTCTGCCATTTTATCAAATTATTTCTTTTACATCTTTGTATGCTGAATACCATGTACTAGACCTTGTTTTAAGCCTTTTTTAACTTTCTTATCTTTGGGATGTTGAAGTGATCCTTCAATCCTTCATAGAATTATAAAGGTACCAGCATAGACTTGTAAATCTTTTTAGAGTGAATTGTAGGGACGCCTTTCTCTACAAAGTAGCAAAAGATGACAGCTTTAAATGTATATTACTTTTATTATGATGTTATTATTTCCTAATTCTAGTAAATGAAACTTGTTTAGTTATCTCTTCATTTCTGTAATCATAACTGTTAATTAGAGAAATTGCTGGGTTAAAGCTGAGTTCACATATCAGCTACATTATATGTATTTAAATAGCTCTAAAAAGTATCTACAGGGGACCCTGGCTGGCTCAGTAGAGCATGTGACTCTTGATCTCAGGGTGCTGAGTTCAAGCCCCATGTTGGGCATAGAGCTTACTTAAAAAAATTAAAAAATAGGGGTACCTTGCTGGCTCAATCAGTAGAGCGTGCAATTCTTGTTCTTGGGGTCATGAATTCAAGTGCCTCATTGGGCATAGAGCTTACATTAAAAAAATAAATTAAAAAGAAAAGAAAAGAAATAAATAAAAATTAAAAGTCTCTGCATAGGGGCGCCTGGGTGTCATTAAGCGTCTGCCTTCGGCTTGGGTCATGATCCCAGGGTCCTGGGATCGAGCCCCGCATCGGGCTCCCTGCTCCGCGGGAAGCCTGCTTCTCCCTCTCCCACTCCCCCTGCTTGTGTTCCCTCTCTCGCTGTGTCTCTCTCTATCAAATAAATAAATAAATAAATCTTAAAAAAAAAATTTATAGGAACAATAATTGGTTATATACTGACTAAATAGTCACCCATTTTACAGAGAAAGTGGTACCTTCTTGAGTCATTTATCTTCATAGTATTTCATATCATTAAAATCAATTTAAACTTTCAGAACCAGAAATAGATGTGATTAATTATTAAACCCATTAGTTACAATCTTGGCAGTATTTAAATTCTGAAGTTCAAACATCTTTTGCATAGTTTCATATGATTTTTATCTTTAAACTAGAAGTTTACATTAATCCCACTTAAATATAAAACATTTTGTGTTTTTAATGTAATGCTGAATTACATTTTTAAAAGTATAAGGACCTGATAATCAGTATAGTAAAAATATTACACTGTATGTAAAAAGTCTATCGTGATCAAAAAAAAACTCCAAATATGTCTTATCCTATTTAGCAATGTAATCATGTTTTCACATCCCAAGATTGATCATGCATCAAAGTTTTATTACAGTGCCTGTCACATAGAGTGTGCTCAGTAAGCATTTGTTGAAGGAATAAATCTCTGGTTTTATCACAAGACCAAATGTCTAATGTTGAAGTTGTTTACAATATACCAGAGTCTTTTGTCAAAAAAAATCAAAACAGAGGGAAGAATTTTGTGAACCTTACAAGCTAGGAAATGCTTGTTGAGTATACTTATTGGTGAGTTAAGTAAAGAAGTTTAGGGGCGCCTGGGTGGCTTAGTCCGTTAGGCATCTGCCTTTGGCTCAGGTTATGATCCGAGGGTCCTGGGATGGAGCCCTGAAGGGCTTCCTGCTCAGAGGGGAATCTGTTTCTCCCTCTGCCCCTCCCCCTGCTCCTGCTCTTGATCTTTCTCTCTCACTCTCTCAAATAAATAAGTAAAATCTTAAAAAAAAAAAAAAAAAAGGAGTTTAACATAATGATGAAAGAAAGGAAGAATTTGAAAGGCAAATTCAAGAAAGCTTTGTTCAATTTAGTGATAATTTGAAAGATCTGATACAGGAGCGCCTGGGTGGCTCAGTCAGTTAAGCATCTGCCTTTGGCCTAGGTCATGATCCCAGGGTCCTGGGATCCCTGTGTAGGACTCCCTTGCTCAATGGGGAGCCTGCTTCTCCCTCTGCCCCTACCCCACTCGTGCTCATGTGCTCACTCTCTCTCAAATAAGTGGGTAAAATCTTTAAAAAAGAAAGAAAGAGAGAAAGAAAGAAAGATCTGATACAACACAATGGAAATAAGAACCCCTTGAAGCTGAAGGAATAAAGGCATGAGAAGTCATTTCTGAGGGACAGAGAATAGAAGAAGCCTAAGCAAATTGCTGCATAGTGACCTGAGGCATGTATTTGAGATTTACAAAGTAGGAATGAAGACTGATTACCCAAGAAAGGATTCAAAGAAATAGCAAATAATTACAGGACTAAAATATGTTCCTTTAGGCTACTGATTAGAGAAGGAATCTGGAAGGGATTTCTCTTGAAGTGAGTTAAACAAAATGACACTGTTTGTTATGTAGTTTATAGAATCATAGAAAGTGAGAACCAGGATGGATTTACAGTAACTCATCCCTTACTCAAAGTGTGGTCCACAGCCCAGGAGCATCAGCATCATGTGGGAGCTTATGAGAAATGCGGAATCTCAGGCCTCACCCCAGACTTGCTGAACTGGAATCTGTATGTTAAAGTCCTCAAGTGATTCTTGTGCATCTTCAAGTGGGAGGCCCTGGCCTAGTCAAGTCCTGTCACTCCTACAACAAACACGTCTGGAGGACCTACTATACATGGAGCACACTCTACATGACACTACAAAAAAATAACACCCAGCTCCTGCATGCAAGGAGATTAGTTTAGTTCAGGAAATAAGCAGCAAAAAAAAAAAATAAATAATTGTAATATATTATGATAATTCATTCTTTCGACAAATATTTATCAAATACCTGCCAATTACCAGCCATAAAAGACAGCCCTGGCCTGTGAAGCTTTTGGTCTAGGGTGGTAAAAACAAAAGGTTCACACAAATAAAAAACTTTTTGAAGAAAAAATGGGAGATTACAAATAGATATAATGTAGATCAAAGAGTAAGGGAGGGTCTCTCTGAGGAAATGACATTTAAGCTCAAGTCTGAGGAATGAGTAGGAAGTCAGCCAGGCGAAAAGGGAATAGGGTGTTCCTGAGAGAAGAATTTACATGAGTAGAAAAAGAAATCAGTGTGTGTCTTAGTCTACTTGGGCTGCCATAACAAAATACCATAGACTGGGTGGCTTAAACAACAGAATTTATTTTCTCACAGTTTGAAGTTCAAGATCAAGATGCCAGCATGGTTAGCTTCTTATCAGAACTCTCTTTCTGGTTTGCAGATGGGCTGCTTTTTGCTGGGTGCTCACATGGCCTTTCTCCAGTGTGTCTGCAGGCATGCATACATCTGTGCAGAGAGAGAAAGAGTTCCAGTGTCTCTCACTCTTCATATAAGGGCACCCATACAATAGATGGGACTTGACAATAGATTAGACCTGAAGAGTAAGGAGAGGTCAAGTGTGATGATTTCCAGACATTCTGCATCTGCAGCTGGATAGATGGATGTGCCACTTATTGGAATTGGGATACCTGAAGGAGGAAGAGTCTTGGGGGAAGATAAAAATTTCAGACATGTTAAATTTTAGATATTTGTGAAAACATCTAGAAAATTGTAGTTATAGGCAGTTGGATTTATGGATCTGGAACTCAGAAGAGCATTCTGATTGGAAATGAAAATTAGGCAATAGTAATCCACATTTTGAAGTATTGAAAGATAAGCATTGCCTTGGGAGAGAGTGACAAGTGATCCCAAGACTGGATCTTGGCAAACATTTAGCACCCAGAAAGAGGGGAAATAACCAGAAAAGGAAACTAAAAAGGAACAAGAGAGATAGAAGGAAAATCAAGAATGTGTTGTCAAGAAAGCCAAGATTATCCAGTCTTCAATTCAAGGAGGGGCTCTGGATAATAGATAAAAATTTAGGAGTCATCAACATATGAGTAGTAGATAAAGCCACAGCATTGGATAAAATTACTCAGGAAATAATGAAAACCTTGGGAATTCATCAAGAGAAAGAAGAACCTGATGCAAGAGTAATTGAAAGATGCAACAGGAAAAAGAGAAGGAAAATAAGCTGAGATTGGGATCCCCAAAGGGAGGGCTTGATCAACAGTGTCAGATGCCACAGAGAAGTCAAGTAAAGCAAGAATGAAAATATTCCTCTCCATATGGAGAAGTTCTTTAAACATCTTGGTGAAAATGTTTCCATAGAACAAGGAGAAGGAAGTTAGGTTGCAGTGACTTATGAAATGAATGGAACGATAAGGAAGTGAAGACCGCCAACATAAAGCAGTGATTTTGAAAATGGGATCCTTAGCCCATCCACATCAAAATCATCAGGAGTGCTTGTTAAAAATAAAGCAGAATAATTGATCACAGGGCTAGGGAAGGACTCTGCATTTTGTTGCTCCTCCAGGTGGTTTTCATGGACATTAAAATTTGAGAACCACTGCCAATAAACAACTATTTCAAAACTATAAACTATGAAGGGAAAGAGAAAAAGCTAAAGATGGACACATATCGATGGAAGATTGTTTGGGGGTTTTTTTAAGGCAAAAGAGACCCAGGTTGTACATATAGTGAGAAAAGAAGTCCAATAAACAATGAAAGGTTAAAGCTGAAAGAAAGAAGTGACAGTTACTGATTGGTAGAAGTCAGGAAGGGATGAGAATCAGAGCCCAAGTGGAGGGATTAGCTTTCAAATGAGAAGAAATGGAAGGTAGTAAAGTGGGTTCAGTTAAAGAAAAGTTTTGAGGTGAGTGAGATGAGAACTTGAGGATTGTAGTGATTCAAAATATGTCCACACATTCTTCAACACTTGGAGGGAACACTCCTTTGAGTGTGGGCTGGATTTAGTGACTTGTTTCTAATGATATGGTAAAAGTAGTGATATCTGACTAGGTCATAAAAGGCCTCACAGCAGCTTCCTTGCTCTCTGTCTCAGATGACTCATCTGCCACGTAAGGAGGACACTTAGGAGCCCTGTGGCAAGGCCCACATGGGGGGAACTGACGCCATCGCCTGCAGCCACATGAATGAGCTTAGAAGCGGATAATGCAGCCCCAGCCAACATGACCGAAACTTCATGAGAAATTCTTTTTTTTTTTTTTTTTAAGATTTTATTTATTTATTTGACAGAGAGAGAGATAGCAAGAGCAGTAACACAAGCAGGGGGAATGGGAGAGGGAGAAGCAGGCTTCTTGCCGAGCAGGGAGCCCGATGTGGGACTTGGTCCCAGGACCCTGGGATCATGACCTGAGCCGAAGGCAGACGCTTAACGACTGAGCCACCCAGGCGCCCTTCATGAGAAATTCTGAGCCGGAGCCACCCAGCTAAACCACTTCTATATTCCTGACCCAGAGACCCTGTGAGATGATAAATATTTGTTGTCCACAGCTGCAAGGCTTGAAGTAATTTATAGTGCAGCAGTAGATAACTAATTGAAAAGTCTTTAACTGTTAGTCTTTGATTTCTCTGTGACATGGGACTCAGGTTCATCGTTAAGACTAAGAAAGAAGATAGGTGTGGAGAAAAAGACTCGAGAATCATAAAAGTTCAAACTAGCTACCGGGGAAATTTGTCACTAAGAACTCATTAAAGGGGTTTCTGGCATTGACGAGGATCAGCTGCAATTGGAGATGAGTTTTGTACTTTCTCTATTTTACAGAGTTGTTCTTTCAGTGGTTTCAGCTGCCCAAGTGTAGGATTGAAAATGTGCTGTAGAATTGATTTAGGCTTGAGATTTTAACAAGCTAAGGGTTGATGAACACTCAAAGGGATATGGGAATTGAGAGTTTGGGCACAAAAGATATCCAGGCTGTGTTATCTCTCAGATGCTTTTAGTTGAAATAATAGAAATCCTAATTCAGGCTGGCTAAACAGCATAGTGTATTGATTCACTTTAGTGTAAAATCCAGTGACAGTTGGCTTCCGGCAGGAGTTGACATCAGCTGTCCACTAATATTACCAAAGATTCATTTCTTTTCCACTCTCTAGCTTTCATGATACTAGTTTTATCCTAAGACTGGGTGTGCTTGTTAAATCACACAATGAAATGATTGCCAGTAACTACCAGAATTGCATGCTTCTTTACTCACATCAGTCAAGGAAGAAAAGGATCCTTTTCTCTCTCAACCATGGAAGTAAGTCCTGGGCTTCATTTTGATTGAAACAAAGCAAGTCACATATCCACCCCTGAACCAACCCCTATGGCCAAGAGAATACTATTTTACTTTAGGACAATTAGCACCCCCCTAAAGTTAGAGGTAAAGGAGTCAGTATCCCCCAAACCTCATGGGAATGGATGCTGAGGAGGCCACTGGTAATATCCACTACAACACATGAAGGTGGGAACACAAAGAACTCATTTTGAAGAAGAAGAAACTCAGGTACAGAGGAATTATGTGGCTTCCAGAGTCACCCCTAGTAAATGGCAGACCTGAGATTTGAATCCAGGTCTCAGCAACATGATTCAGGGATCTTTCTGCTACATCAAGTTGTCTCTTGAAGATCTTAAAAATTGGTCATTGTCTAGTAGTTATTTTGAGAACTCAGGGTAAAGAACTCGTTGCCAAGAACAGATACATACTCCGGTTGCCTCAGTTTATGTGAGTTTATTTTAAAACTAAGTAAATAAATATGAGAAGTAAAAATTGTAAGGAACATAAAATTGACTGACTAACCAAGCTAGCCAGAAAGAAGGTAGTAAGACACCCACTCCATTTCATGGAGCTGAAATGTAATTCAGGATTCATCAGGTGCCTTCAGTCCTTCAGGAGCTCTGGAATCTGGCAAGAGCTTCTGGGAAGGTGAAAAAAAAAACCAAAACAAATATACATAGTACTTACCTTATAAGATTGTTGTGAGGATTAAATAGAACACATCTACACTCACATATACACTTAGCTCATAATGTAGTAAGTTCATTTGCACATAACACAATAAACTATTATTTTCTGGCAAACTGAGTTAGGTGCCATGACAGGGTCACAAATCAATCCAAGTAAAATATTAAAGGGCTGATTGGTGAGCTCTTAGAAAAGAAAATACTGATTACTGAGGAGTAACCGTTGGATCATTAACAGCCAAAATAGCAAAATGGTCTAATTTCTCAACATTTTTAGCCTCATACATAGAGGGAACACAGTATATATGGTACATCAGGATTTCAACTAGATCTCCCATGATAACCTTTTGGATAAGTTGGGAAAAGATGAATTGGATGTACAATGAGATGGATGTGTAATTACTAAATTTCAGTGTCATAGCGTGCTGATTAATGGATCTAGTTATTTAACAAACAGCGTGCCCAGGCACTCTACCAAATGTTGAAGACACAAACATGAAACTAACATGGCCCCTGTTTGCATCTGTAGAAGCTTCTGGTATCTTGAAGTGTGATAAGGTCACACGTCCTGAAGCATATACTGGATGATGGGCAGGCAGGATCCTGGAACTGGGCTTCAAGCATCAGCTGAGTGGTTGAACTTCATATCTTGAAGACTCTGTTCCAGCCCTGGCATTTTGTGAGTCATAAGTAAAAAAAAAAAATTATCTAGATATAGTATGAAACTGAACAGTTTAGTAACATAAATGATGCCAACAAGTAGTTGTCGAAGTTGGGAGAATGGTAAGTGCATGTATGCACCATGTGCTTACCACCAGATTTCTGGTTGTGATCAACATATATATATATATATATATATATATATATACACGGGGCGCCTGGGTGGCTCAGTCGGTTAAGCGACTGCCTTCGGCTCAGGTCATGATCCTGGAGTCCCGGGATCGAGTCCCGCATCAGGCTCCCTGCTCGGCGGGGAGTCTGCTTCTCCCTCTGCCCCTCCCCCCTCTCATGTGCTCTCTCTCATTCTCTCTGTCTCAAATAAATAAATAAAATCTTTAAAAAATATATATATATATATGTGAACAACATATGTAACTTTTAAAAATATATCGCTGTAACAAACAATGAATCATGGAACACTACATCTAAAACTAATGATGTAATGTATGGGGATTAACATAAGAATAAAAAATTTTAAAAAATATATATCACTGTACAAATGTAAGGTAATCACATCAAAGTTAAAATTATTTCCCTCCCTTCTATTTTGATTCAACCCTTTAGATGAGCTTGCAGTTTTTATTTTCCAACTACAATTTCTTGGTTTAAAGGATACTAGTTGTTTCTAGTTCTCCATGTCTTGGTTAACTAGGGGATTACATATCTTTTGACCATGTTGTTGCTTAGTTGCTTTTTCTTTGGTAAAAGCTGAGTGCCCACAGGGCGCCTGGGTGGCTGAGTCGTCTGCCTTCGGCTCGGGTCATGATCCCAGAGTCCTGGGATCGAGCCCCGCATCGGGCTCCCTGCTCCGCGGGAAGCCTGCTTCTCCCTCTCCCACCCCCCCTGCTTGTGTTCCCTCTCTTGCTGTGTCTCTCTCTGTCAAATAAATAAATAAAAATACTAAAATTAAAAAAAAAAAAGCTGAGTGCCCATGCACTGGATAACACTCTGATAGTTAGAACAAGAACATTCGAGGGCCACAGACCTTTAAGCATTCAGCACTGAAGCTTATGGTGAAAAATTAAGCTCCAGAAAACTGGTATTTCCTACAGAATGAATTCAGTGATGACTATGGCAGTTTTATTAACAAGGCAGCATTATAGATTATAACCTTATAATACTAAGTACTGATTTGGAGTCAGACAAATTGGGTAACATTTTACAGTCTTTCTTCATCTGTAGTATGGAGATAGTAATCCCTACCTCCTGGAGTGGATTTTACTATTAAAATGGGATATATATATAAACTTAGAGCCATGCCTGACATAAGGTTTTTGAACAAACAATCAGTAATCCTATTAACCTAAAGATGTGTTCGTGGTATTTTCCAAGCCTCTTTCTCTCTAGATTAAAATAGAGATTTTCTGTGGATAATTTTGTTGCCCAGATACAGGGGAATTGGAGAGATTTTTAACGATTAATCCCACAGCACTCCAGTACTCCACCAACACAGAATGCAGACTGGGTCTGGACAACATCTTTTTTCCCAGCAGTCATCCATCTCTCATGGCCCTTCCTGGCCAAGTGTAATATAAATACTTGAATGAGTTTCTTGGTGCTGACATTTAGGATTTCACAGCATTCATCTGCACTTAATATCTGTCACTGAAAAGGCCTGGCAACATTGCAGGTGGTTCCTCCTACTGCCAAGGTGTTAATGGTTTAAAAAAAAAAAAAAAGATTCTGCCAAGCTTGGTTAATTTAAGATACACTCCCTAAAGGGCATAAGCCAAAAAGACCTGTGTCGTGTGCTTTTGTTATTGTTTCCAGTACAAATGAGTTTTGAACATAAAAATTTGTGATGTTTGTAGATCATTGACTTAGGTTCAGCAGGATGTTTTATTTAGGCACTCGGGCTGCCATTCAGAATGCCATAGACTGGGTAGCTTTAAAAAGTAGTTTATTTTCTCACAGTTCTGGAAGCTGGAAGTCGGAGATCAGGGTGTCAGCATGGTCAGGTTCTGGTGAGAGCTCTTTTCTTTGCTTGCAGACGGCCTCCTTCTCCCTGTGTGCTCACATAGCCTTTCCTTGGTCAATACTCACAGAGATAGAGCGAATTCTCTCTCTTCCTCGTCTTTTTTTTTTTTTTTTAAAGGTTTTATTTATTTATTTGACAAAGAGAGAGACAGCGAGAGAGGGAACACAAGCAGGGGGAGTGGGAGAGGGAGAAGCAGGCTTCCTGCTGAGCAGGGAGCCCGACGTGGGACTCGATCCCAGGACCCTGGGATCATGATCTGAGCCGAAGGCAGACGCTTAACGACTGAGCCACCCAGGCGCCACCTACCTAGATGATTTTTTTTTTTTTTTTACCTAGATGATTTTTATGAAAAATAAATTATAGGGGCGCCTG